TTTGAAGGATAATTTTTACAGAATTGTGTTGGTTGTTGTTCTCTCACCACTTAAAATATTTCAGCTCACTAACTGCTTGCTTACATGATTTCTGAGAAGTCAGACAAAATTTTTATTTTTGTTCCTCTATAAATAAGGTGTTTCTTTCCTTTGCTTTCTGTTGGAATTTTTTTCTTAATTTTTGATTATCAATAATTTGAAATGATATGCCTAGGCATAGGTGTTTTGTTTTTCTTCTTTTATCCTGCTTGGTGTTCTCTTAGCTTCCTGGATCTGTGGTTTGGTGTCTGACATTAATTGGGGGGCAATTCTCCATTTTTACTTTTTCAAATATGTTTTCTATTCCTTCCTGGCTTTCTCCTCTCCCAAGAGTCCCAATATTCACGAGCCACACCTTCTGTAGCTGTCCCATAGTCCTTCAGGGTTCTGTTCTGGACTTTTTTTTTCAGTCTTTGTTTTAAGTTTCAGGAGAGTCTACTGATATATCCTGTAGCTCAGAGATCTTTTTCCTCGGCCATGTCCAGTCGGCTAGTAATACCACCAAAGGTATTATTTGTGTCTGTTACAGGGTTTTTGATCTCTAGCACTTCCTTTGGTTTTGCATCTTAGGATTTCCTTGCTCTGTTTACATTGCCTACCTGTTCTTTCGTACTCTCTCCTTTAACCACCAGAGCCCTTAGTTTATTCATCACAGTCGTTTAAAATTCCTAGCCTGATATCTCTGCCATGTCTGGTTGTGAACTTGTTCTGTCTCTTCAAAGGGTGTTATGTGCCTCTTGGTATGCCTTGTACATTTTTTCTTGATAGCCAGACGTGATGTACAGTGTTGAAGTCACTGATGTAAACAGGCCTTTAAAAGACTCGAGTGCCACTGAACACCAGGCATATGCGCTGGGAAGTGCATCCTAGGCAGTGTTGACACTGCAGGAACATCACGAACGAAAGTTGAACACCATGTGCAGCTCTGGGGCACACGGAGACACCCGGCAAAATTGAGTAACTCACCAATTGGCCGAAGTCGCCGCCTTAAATACCATGTCTAGGTAAAGACAAATGACAATGCTGAGGATAGGGGAGTCGGCCACGGGAGGGGACCAGGAAAAGCATGGTAAGCAAGGGTAAGGTGGTCGTGCAGATTTAGGTTTCTGCCTTCTGCATCAGTGGGAATTTCTAGAGATAAGGTCACCCCTCCCTCCTCGTACAGGGAGGCAGACGCCCTTACAAATACAAACGTCTCTGACAAAGGGTGACTTCTGTTGCTATTCAGAGCAGCTCCAATGTCTGCCGTTTCTTAAAACTAACCAGCCTAAAATAATCCTCATGCCCAGGAGACCTGTTTCGGTGTGACGCAAGGTGTTCTCCTGCAGCTCCCAGGACACAGGCCTGGGCAGCGTGCTACTGTACTGAACACCACAGACGGTCGTGACACAACGGTGAATGTCTGTGTGATGCATTGCTCTTGTCTATGACATCACCAGGCTGTAGGAATTCTTCAACTCCATTACAACCTTATATGGGGCCACCACTGTACACAAGGTGGCTGTGGCTGACTGGCTGCTATTCAGTGCATGGCTGTAGTGGGGGGAGGGAGGCACACTCTAATCCTGCAATCGGTCTTGGTCTTTCAGCGAGTCTGCGTCTCTGGACGGTGAACCTCCCAAGGGTTCCTCCATTTTTGTCCCCCTCCTTAGGGAGGAGGGGCGGGATGGCTGGAGGAGGCCGAGTTGGGTACTTACCTACCCCCAGGTTAGTGAGGTTGGGCTCTGAGCAGTGCGGTCCTCTGAGAACAGGCCTTGTCAAACAGAACAGGGCTCTGGCTTGTTCCAGAATGGTTTCTGTTCCCCTTCCCCTGCCAGAAGCAGAGGGGACACCCCCAACCCCAGTATTTACTGAGGCAAGCTTCTGGAGCAAATGTCCCAGGGTCCCTCTGCAGTGTTCACCTCTCAGACTTGTGCACACTGAGCCACCAGCAATTGGTCAGTTCCTGCGCAGGGGAGAGACGCCATCTCTGTGTGCAGCCGGGGCCAAGGAGACCCAGGGGAGGGTTGTGGGAGAGCGCTCTGTACCCCACTTGGCACACCTGCTTCTCAACCCAAACGTGCTTTTCTTTTTGTGACTTTTACCCTACTCTTTAAAAGTGATATAGAACCATATACGACTTTAGAAAATCAGAAAATACAATTTAAAAATAATGTAAATAAAAATTATGTAATCCTTCTTTTTAACCCAGATTTCACTCCTGCTAATGTTCCTGTATACTTTGTCTGGGATTATCTCCTTTGTGTCTGAGGAGATAGATAGGTACATGGTAAAAAAAATGTAGAGGACAGAGCTAATGTCAGAGGTTCCCGTTTCATACCCTGCCCTGCTCGTTCCAGTTAAAGTGCTATTATGAATATTTCTTCGTGCCACTTAAAAGGCTTATACCCATCACACTCAGCTGCAGCATTATCATGCATTGTTTGGATTTCTATAACTTTATGAATTGTTCCCTTGTTTGGGACCTTGAGGATTGTTTTGTAATTTGGGGGCAGAAATGTGTGATAACAGTAGATTGTTTCCTCTGGTCGGTGTCCTAACAGTGGAGTTGCTTGGCTAAAGGTCATGGGCATTTGAAAAGATCTGGGTGAATACTACTGATTTATTCCCCAAAAGTCCCTGCCTGTGCTCCTTCCGCATCTGCACACTGACTTACCTGTGTACCGCAGCTGCCTGGCATATGGGTAGACAATTCTTTGTGGAGTCAGAGACCACAGTCCATGCCCCCGTGTACCTGAGATATGGAACTAACCTTCTCATCATTTTCATTGTGATACAGTGGTGTTGCTAAGCCCACAATAACAGGACCCTCCCCCTTCAAGGCAAAGGCTTTGATAATTTTTCCCTCTGTTGGGTAGAAGGCTAGTGATCCCAGGACCAAACAGATCTCAGAGAGAAGAAAGCATTGCCAGAAATCAGTTGCCTGATTTTTTCCCCAAATAAACCCAATCCACAACAGGAAGAAAATGGGAAAGGAGGAGATGGGACAAACCAGACGAATTGTTAGCTGCTCACGTTTCCTCCTAACAAACCATGTAATAGAAGCCATTGGAGGCAGATATTGAAAATCAATGGAATCATTATTTCATGAACCAGGACCTTGGACGATATTGGTGGAAATGTTGGCCGGGAAGTGCCAAGGTTGATTCCTGAGGCCACTGTTGGAAAAATCAGTATTCGCGGTACTCAAAAATGCCAAGGAGCCACCCAGGAAAAACCTCTCTGGTTGACCACTTTGTCCTAATCCTCTTGTTTCATTAAGTTTCTACTACAATATTTTACTGTATGTTAGAGTTGGGAAAAGGTGTACCTACAACCCAGCTTATTAATTAAAACATTATATTCATGCTTAACAGGTAGTACAAGTTCAATCACTGTTGCTGCTGTTTAGTACTTGGTTGTGTGTATACACCATTTATTTATCCAAATTTGCAATAATAAGTATCTAGGCGGCTTCTGTTTTTTCATTATTGAAAAAGTGATGCCACATAGATTCTTGTACATAATCTTGTGCAAATCCCTTTGGGTTTCTATACATGGTGGTCAAAAGGCCCACACAGCACGAATTCTCTAGGTGTTGCCCACTGCTCTGCAAGAGAGCACAGTGTCTTCAAGCTCCTATTGCCCCACGGCCTCATATCCCAATAGCTCCAGACTTCGAGTCTTGTGCACCTAATGCGTTTTAGTTTGCATGTCCCTAGTTACTAGAGAGTTCTAGCAGTTATTGGCTATCTTTGCTGCGTCTGTGAACCCCTTCTTGTTCATATGGTTTGCCTCATTTTTGAACAAACAAATCTGGACAGATTGAGCATCCTGGTCAACCGCCAAAGGGGGAGAGTCATCCCCGAGGGGAGCATTGGGAGGGAAGGCGGTTTGTCCAGATGGTGGTAACTGGTCATTGTTCAAACACCAGCAGATGGAACCAGAGTGCTCCCCCCTCCCACCCCCGGTGTTCAGGACTTGGAGAAATCTCCCAAATTGTTGTATTTCAGGAATGACTTTTCAGAACCCTGCCAGTCTAGCTCCCCCATGAATCAGCTCAGGGCTTTTACTAAAAGCATCAGAAACCAGCTCTAGCCAATTTAAGCTGAAACGGAGCTTATGGAAAGGGCGCCAACAATATTGAGCGGGTTGAAGAACCAGATTCGGACAAGGGCTTCTGAAACAGGAGGGGTGTCCCCAGAGCAGTTCACAGAACTGGTCTGGCAGAGGTGCCATTGTCAACAGAGACCCTGGACACCGCCATTGACCTGGCAGCACTGGGAACCACAGGGGGGACTTTGAGAAGAGTAGTTTCACTGCCACAGTGGGAACCAAAGGCTGGTCCGAGTGAGTTCGGGAGAGAAAGGGAGAAAATGAGGCGGAAGCAGCCCTGACTATAGAAGTCCCTGTAGGGGGAAGCAGAGAAATGAGGCTGTGGCTAGAGGAGGGGCAGGGGCGGTAAATGGAATGTGGGGTCGGGAGGGTTTCTCAGAATGGGAAACATGACGCATGTTTTATCCTCCTGGGAGGGGCCCAGGGCCAGAACGAGAACGGCTAGTCACAGGGGCAGTTTTTGAGTAGGTGGGTCAGGAAGGGGGGGCAGGTCCCTGGAGTAATGGAGGGCAACCCAGGGGAGTGGCCGCAGGGAGCCTGGTGGATTGGGCAGGTGGGACACAAGAGCTCTTCTTCGATTCCTTCCAATTTCTGGGTGGAATGAGGTCAATTGCCAATAATCGAAAGGGGGGACAGGATGAAGGCATGAGAACAGCAGAGAAATAGCTATAACCTACATCAAAATTCAAAGTTTGTTTTCAGTATTCCTGGTTTTTGGGTATCCTATGGAAAAACATCTCTAGAAGGTCCACGAATGAACAACAGTGGGAGTGTTTATTGTACGTCAGTTTATCTCTGGGGGGACCAGCTGGTCTACAAGAACGTTCTCTGTATCAGAGAACACCGTCCAGTTCTGGAAACCACAATCGATTGACCTTTCTCCAGAAATGAAAGTGACAGAGAAGGCAAAAATGAGAGCCGATGAATTACAGCTTGTCCTAAGCTTGAAGTCCAAATTGTCATATTTCTTCTGACGAACCTTCCGAGGGAGAGAAAGGGACCTTTCGGAGCGAAGGGAACCTTTTAGCCGGTGGTAAGTGTTGTGTGTAGGAGAAAAAGAGACAAACCCAGCGGCAGCCGGCTTCGCTGCTTCAGAACTGGAAACGAACGGTCTGCCTGTACCACGAGGATCAGAATAACCTCCCGTGGGTGAGTGCAGAGCCTGTGACGATGCCAAGCACAGTGGGTGTTTCAAAACGAATGTTTTGAAACTTGCCGCCCACACTTGCCACCTCCCTGCACCCGCTGAATTGCAACACCGGTCTAGTGGTGCAATGTTCATATTCCCCTGGCAGCCGCCCCTTCCCAGGGGCCGGGGCACAGGCCGGGCTTCCTGGGAGCGTCTTCCCTGCACAAATGATTTGAGAGGGTGCGACTGCTAAATAAATTAATTTGATTTGAATATTTCTTTTCAGTGCAAAACGTCGCCAGGCCGTAGATTTTCTCTTTGGCCCCCTCCCCAGCATCGTGTCTCTCGGAAGGTGCTTTCTGCCAGCACCAGCGAGAGTGTGGCGTTGCCTACCAACGCCCGGTTCCGTTTCATTAAACACGCGTACCTCCCCTCCCCACCCCCACCCCAGTCCAGGTGATCTGATCCCTTCAGAGACCTGCGCCCACAGACGCAGGTTAATTTGTTAGTTGAGTCAGAGCGCTGTCAGAACATCAGGAGGGCTCCGTTTGCCTCTAACCTGTGTCTCTCAGTGAAGTGCGGCTGTAATGACATGACATGGGGTGAAAAAATGAGAGCTGATGAATTACAGCCAGAGAGTGGCATGGGTGACGTCAGTCATCCGAGGAGGGTCGCATGGCACTGCAGAGGACCTCGGCTAAGCAGGCCTGGGAGTGGGAAGGTGGGTGACTCCCTGACAGTGGCTGCTGCTTCTGGAAGTTTCTTAAATTTTAAAAAATGAATTAATTGATTTTTTATTAATATTATCTTTAATTCTCACCCCAGGATATGTTTATTGATTTTAGAGCAAGAGGAAGGGAGAGTCAGAGAGAGAATGAGAAGGGGGGGGAGGGAAACATTGATCTGAGAGAGGCAAATTTGACCAGTTGCCTCCCGTACGCTCCCTGAGGGGGATCGAATGAACCTGTGACCATTTTGTGTACAGGATGATGCTCCAACCACCTGAGCAACCCGGCCAGGACTAAATTTATTTTTTCAACTGAGATGTCACTGGCACATAACACTGTGTATGTTTAAGGCGCGCAGCCTGCTGATAACACCCAGCAAGTAATGCTGGGCCGATAGGCAGTCTCCTGCCCCCGGGACTGTGGTTTCAGTGTGGTTCTCTGTGACTCAGCTGTCGCCACCTCTCTGGGCATGTTCCAGCCCCTGCCGTGTGTTTTGTGGGCCGGGCTCCCAACCCAAATGCAAACGCCTTATCGGCCAAGCAGGTGGACGGAGCAGCTGCCCCTGCCCCAGGAAGTGGGGGTTTCGTTTCCTGCGAGGACACCACAGTGTGAAGTGTCTGGGGAGGCAAGACATTCTGAGGGTGTGAGGAATCCCAGCAAAGCTCCCCCAGGCTGCCGGGATTGGCTTTAAATAACTCCGCACTGGCGGCAGGCGGGAGAGCAGCCAGGAAGGAAGGAACGCTGGGACAAACAAGCGGCCCTCCGGAAGGCCGGCCTGACTCTGCCAAGCCACAGCTGGCCGCGGGCTGGGAGGCGGTGGTAGGCAACCGTACCAACCACATGGCGTTAATCCCTGTGAGCGACAGGAGGAAGCTCTGGAGAATAATGCACACTCCAGTAATTAGGTGGGGCCATACCACCAGCAGCTAGAGGGCCGACGCAAAGGGGTGCAACTAGGAAGCCTGTGAACTTGCCTGATTTGATGTTTAGACATTAAGCAACCAGTCAGGAGTTCTACACTGGACACTTCCTACTTATGAAGCACTATGCTTGTGGGATAACCAAGAGTCACGAGAGCCTTTCAGCACCCCCTGCCCCACTCCTGAGCTTACAGCTACAGGAACATGCATAGAACCCAAAGGAAAACCTGGGTTTATTCTAGCAGTATTGTATAGGGTCCCTCAACTAACCCTGTATAAAACAGACTTTTTTACTGCATTGCTGGACTCATGTGAAATAGAGAGAAAAACAAGTGAGATGAACTCAGAGTGGGAAGACTGGGGAACAAGCAAATACGGAAGGAGAGTTGCCCTGTGTTTGGCCGCTGGGGCCAGCATTGGAATGGTTTGTCTAAGCCACCAGCCGCAACCCAGTAGGTGGGGACCAGAAATGAAGACTTTTGGATTAGGGCCCCAGTCCTCAGTAAAAGCCAAAGTCATCTCTGGGGAACGTCTTCCCTGTCTTAGGCCCTCCAATTCCCAGAAATCGAGATCGACTGATGAGCTCAGGGTCAGGACATAAAAACACAAGCAAAGAGGCCACCATGAGTGAGAATCAGCAGCAACTAGGAGCCACAGAGTTCACCCTCATCCTCCAGGTAATGGAATGACATGACTCAAAAATATATAAAATAATAATGTGTCAAATGCTTAAAGACTAACAACTGGAATCACAAAAATAAGCAGGCAATAAGAGATGATAAAAATGATCAGGGAGATTTTGGAAAAAAGAAAAGAAGTAAACTTGAAAAATGAAAAATAGGATTGTAAAAGCTAGAAAAAATACACCTGCATGAGTGGGGAAAACAGCAAAGTAGATGCAGTTGATAAGGTCACTTCATTTATTCCTTGAACAAATATTTACAGAATATTTACCACAAGTCAACTACTGTTCCAGGCCCGTGGAATATAGCAGCGAACAACACAGACAAAAACTCCAGCTGGCACATACGTTCCAAAATAGATTATAGCAAGTCATGAAATACATGGCATAAGGTTCTGAAAACCATACATCAGGAAAGGGGTGTGAGCAGAGCTACATGTTGAGACGGAAGAACAGAAAAGGCCTTGCTGAGACGTTGACATTGGGTGAAGATGTGAAGGAGATGAAAAGGCACTCCATGAAAGTACTCGGGGAAAAGCATTTTGGGCAAAGGGAACAGCAAATCCAGTGGCCCAGAGAAGGGGACATGCTTGATAAATTTGAGCTCCTGGCAAAGAGCTACGAGGGTGGAAAGGTGAGGGCCTAAAAGGTCATAGGGGGCAGGTCCTGGGGGTCTTGCAGGATGATAAGGGATGATACCAGGCCACGGTCCCCTTTTAAAGGCCCATCTGAAGTTAGTGGTTATGCATTTAAATTAGAAGGTGTTATAAACTGGACCTTCGCGGAGATCTGTACAGCTCCTTCCATCCTGGCTGACCTGGCCTCCTTCTCCTGTACACAGAGTCCTCTCCTCCCCGGGCCTTCATCTTTGCTGTTTTTCCCACCCTGTCTGTTGGACTGATTTGCATCCCGACTCCGGTTTCTGTCTCACTCTGTACATATGGAACTGACGTTGCCTCGTGGTTTCTGTTCTATATCTTCACCCAGGAGCTCTGTAGGGACAGCGATAAGCCACCGTCTCCAAACCCAGGGCTCAATCAATTGGACTGAGCTCTCTAAACCCTACCAGATCAGCGCAGGAATAAGCTAAATGGTGACTGCCTGCAATAAGATTCTGCTGGCACTGTGACCAGATTTCGTTTGTCTTTAATTTAAGCACACTGCTGAACGTACAATCAATATTTTAGTAATTACGTACAAATAGTTCTCGGTATAAATCAAGGTTGTTATCACGGCCTTAAGCTTTGGCAGCGTGTCCTTTCTCAGAGGCTGTGCTGTTTCCCTGGTGTCGGCGGCACCGGCTGATGCCCAGCACCCTTCTCCTACAAACCTGCACAGTGGGGTGAGCTGGTAAGAATGGCAGACACCACCCTCGGCTTGGGTGAATCTCCAGCACCTCTCTCACCAACGGGAGAGTCAGGCCTCCACGCCTAAGTGCCTGATTCCAGCCAGAAGGCTGCGGTGTGTTCCCTAGGCCACCAGGCCTCTTCCACAAGATTCTTGGAGGAATCACCTGGACCTCAGGTCACTCAACTTGAAGAAAGCTCTGGAATGCTAACTGCATGGCAGAGGTGACCCACCTTGATGGGAGGGGAACCCGTGTTTTGTGCCCCTGTTATTGTACCCTTGTGGCCAGCCAATCAGAGGTCAGGCAAGGCAGCTCCCATGGGCCAGTCCAGTCCTCCAGGTAATCAGCTCTGAGCAACTAGGAACAGGTGTGCTGGCCAGGTAAAGGCACCCCAGCGGGCTCCCACAGCAACCAATCAATGCTTCCAGGAGATTCAAGCTAGAACAAGATGGCTTAGCCAACAAAGATGAGGCAAACACAAACTCTCTATTTTTTTCTTCTTTTCCCACTAGGAACTAGTACCAATCCAAGACAAAAGGGTTCTTCAGGAAGGGGTGCCTGGGGGTGAGAAAACCCACATGTAGCCCAAACTTTTCATTAAAGTTCTACCAAATGGCTCAACCTTAGCCAAACTTGTTCAAAGCATGGCAATGCATATATTTTCCATATTCACCAAGGGATCCCACGCTGAGTTCTCTGGCATCCCTTCGCCAGTCTCCACAGCCTCCCACCGTGTCAGACAGAGCTCCACTATTCAGTCCCCATCGTCACCCCCATTTCCGCCCATGGCAATTTCTTCTCTCTCTTTTTTTAAAGATTTTATTTATTTTGGAGAGGGGGGAGGAAGGAGAAAGAGGGAGAGAAACATCAGTGTGTGGCTGCCTCTTGTGCACCCCCTACTAGGGACCGGGCCGGCAACCCAGGCATGTGCCCTGACTGGGAATCAAACCAGCAACCCCTTGTTCCACAGGCTGGCACTCAGTCCACTGAGCCACACCAGCCAGGGCTCCGTCCCTGGCAATTTCAACTCTCTAAACCTGTACGCAGTGAACAAGAAAATCTAGATGCAACCGTGACCACATGTAGGAATGAAGAGAGACTTCAGGGGAGGAAACTTGACCTCAGAGGCCAAGAATCCCAGATGATGACTCATTTCTTCATTTGTTTTAAACCCTCACATGAGAATATATTTTATACATGTGTATATACATACACACACGTACATACACATATATTAGGGAAAGAGGAAGGGGAGAGAGCAAAAGAAAGAGAGAAACATCGATCTGTGGCCTCTGGTATGTGCCCTGACCAGGGATCGAACCCACGACCTAGGTGTGTGTCCTGACTGGGAATCGAACCCACAGCCTTTTGGTATATGGATGGGGCGACACTCCAACCCACTAAGCCGCCTGGCCAGGGCCACTTCTTCATTGTTTGATGACAGAGGACTGTCAGCTGATTTGACTTCCCATCAGAAGGGCGAATACCGTCGCCTCTCCGTTTCATTTCAGTGCTGCCTCTGCTGTCGTTGTCCTCCATTTTCGGTCCAGCACAGACCGTGGAAAAGAGGGCTCACTGGCCACTCTTTTAAAGACCAATCAGCGTGTCCAAAGCTCTGCTGTCAGCCTCCCTTCTTGTTCTGAACGATATTCACGGACCTCCTGGCTCCTCCCGAACCGGGCCAGCAGCCTCCGCCCCCCGGCCTCACACCCTCCTATTACACCCAATCCTCACAAAGCTCACGAGGAGAAACCTGCACCATCCACTCCGCTCTCACCATGGGTTCCAGGTAAATTAAAAGCCGAAAACAAAGATTCTAATAACAGACGAAAAACAAAACCTAATTTACCAAAAGACCTAGTCATTTACCCCCTGGAGGTATGAATAGCACAGGCCTGGCTCTGAATCAGGGCGTTGAATCCAAAAACACGTACGTGTGTTAAATAAGTATTTAAGCCTTCCCCCAGACAGATGACTAATGGGTGTTATGCTGTCTTTTGTTTCTTGTGTTAAACCCACAGAGGTAATTATTTATTCAATAAAATTTAAACAGTGAATAAGGCATAATTGGAGGCTGAGCGTAGCATTTTTCGCTCCTCGCCGCTCCGCAGCTGTGGTTGGCACGGCCCTGTAGCTTCCCCAGTTTTGTGACGTTTATGGAGAAGCGAACCCAGGTCTCTTCTCCTTGAACAGCCCTCCTGGGGGTGCTCCTTGTGCATTCTCTCCTGGCCCCATCCGTCACCCCCTTATTTCTCACAGTTGCATTTTCTCCACCTCTTGGGAAGGGGGGCTGTTTCCTAATTTACTATCTGGGAAGGGGAGACCAGCCAGCTTCAAGTCCTTTTCCTTTTCAGGAATGAGCTTTTCAGCGCTGGGGAAAGATTTCAAACCATCCAGGAGAACCGGTGGGTATCTGTCCCATGCTCCAAGCATAGCCTGGATGCTCAGCAGATTTCACGATCAGGAAATACTGGGAATAGATGGGACCAGGGGAGTCACAGAGGACAATGTGCCCATCCTGCAGGTGAGCTAACCAGAGACCAAGAGAAGGACATTTCCACAGGTGGGGGCCAGTTCATAGTTAAAGCTGGTTCGTGGAAGAGCTGTATCTAGATCCAGACCAGGTCATGGTCACTGTCCCATGGGGCTCCTGAGCCCTGTCCCCACCCCACATTATGGCAGTTTCCCAGGCAGCTCCATGGGTCTCTTCTGGCTTTTGGAAGGTGTCACTTTTCTGCAGTGACTGAATTTCTACACAGCATCCCGAGACATGTGATGCCCTGGACAGTGGAGACTTGACTTCCATGTGAAATAAATCCTGTAAATCACTCTAGTCTATCAAAATATGGTCCAGGAGTGATGCAAATAAGGCACATGTTTGGTGCACATCTTAAGAATAGAGTAGTCCTCCCTGGTCTACAGGGATACCTCCCGACCCCGCCCACCCTGGGGATGCCCCAAAACCTCAAATACTACTGAACCAGGTCTGTAGATATTATATATACACACCTATGATAAAGCGTAAGTCATAAATTGGTCACAGTGAGAGATTAACAACAGTAGCCAATAATAAAACAGAACAATGAAAACAACATATAATATCAAGTTATGTGAATATGGTCGCTCTCGCTAATTTCCCTGTTGTTCTGTACTCACCCTCACTGTGACAATGTGAGATGACAAAATGACAAACCTGGTCCTGCGTCTGTGTAGCCATGCCTCACTTGCAGTAAATGGTTTGGTGGCACTTGTTTCCGGGGACCCTTTGCTGAAGGCTTAGCATTCTGGCACAACCATGTCCATCAGTTGGCACACGTGTTTTTGTTCCCTCTTCTACCTGCAAAAGAAATAATGCCTTTTCCATCTTAACCACGCCCTTATCATGCACTGTGGCCACAATTCCTGCAGTTTGAGGCGTGGTAGCAAAATAGCAGGAATTTCTTTTTCCTTCTTCACAAATTCACGGAGAGAAGATTCGTTCTTACTGTAGATCTTAGCAACCTCAGCCTACAATTTTTTTTGTTTCCTTATTAAGTTGAGAACTTCCACTCACCTTTCCACATAAAGAAAGCACTTGATGGCTTCCCTGTGGAGGATCCAAACTACTGGCTTCACGACTCCCGGACTTTGGGGCCATTGTTTAGTAAAGCAGGGTGACTCGAACACAAGCAAGAGGCCCGAAGTCCAAAGTCAAGTTTGGAGGGGGAGATCCTTCCTGGCTCCCGGCAGTTGTCCTGGTTTATTGCATCACTCGGATTTCTGCTTCCACATCATGTGCCTTCTTCTGTGCGTGGGTGTCAAACTCCTGTTCACCGGGGGCCACATCAGCCTCGAGGTTGTCTTCAAAGGGCCAAGTGTAACGTTAGGACTGTATACATGTAACTGCTCCTTAACAGTTAAACGAGAGCTCGGTGCTGCTGCAGGGTAGAAACAAGGTGCCGGGCAGGATAAAACAAGGTGGAGGGCCGGATTCGGCCCGTGAGCCTCGTATTTGCCGCCTGTGCTCTACAGTCTCGGGTTTTCTTTAATCCTCACCCGAGGATGTTTGTTGATTTTAGAGTGAGAGGAAGGGAGAGAGGGAGAACCATCAGTTGATTGCTTCTCGCATATGCCCCAACTAGGGGGGTCGAACCCACAAACTCTGGTGCACAGGATGATGCCCCGACTAACTGAACCACCTGGCCAGGTCCTCGTCTGTCTCTTCTAAGGACACTCTCGTTGGATTTAGGGCCCGGCTGAATCTCATCTCGATCCTTAGCTCAATCTGTTTTGAGGCTTGGAATTTGGGGGGAATATTCCCAGCTCAGGGCTCGAGGCTCCTTTCATGTATTTAATTCCGGAGCTACCTAATGTTGGCAGTGGGACTGACCTGAAAGGACAGGGAGACTGGATGGATGTCATGATGGCTGACAGAGACCAGAGCTGGGGCTCAAGGACCTCCTTCGGCCTTGCTCCTACGGCTGAAATTTCCCCAGGGACCATGTCCCAGCAATTTGATTCAGTCTCTATGCTATGGCTCGGTCCTGTGAGAAAAGGCGAGTATCTCTGAGAGATCTTTCTTCCTTTGTGATTCTCAAGGGGGTAGGGCACTGAGAACCACCTCAGTGACGGGGCTTTTACGGAGAACGCCTGCCTCGAGAAGGAACCGTGGCGATGGCGAACTGCTCTAGTACCTGCAAATGTTTCATCCCTCTCAGGTGTACCACTTCTGGGTCAGACCATGATACCCACTTCCTGGCAATGAGCCCCTGTTTGGGGTCTGGGGTAAGAAGGGAGAAAATACGCCGGGGAGCAGCAAACACCCAAATATCACTGCTGTCACATTTCCTGGAATTACGGGACTGGAAATTGGCAGCAGGGACGGCCGATCCAGTCTGGCCCCCCAGTGGGGAGTCTTGTGGCAGCTCTGGCTGGACACCACACGGTGCTAGGACGGTCTCCGAGGTGCACCTGTACTGAGTGGGAAGAGAACGACGATGTAGTCCCCATCTGCCACGGACATCCCTGGGGACCATCAGGACGTGTGCTGACAATCTGTCATCCCTGGTACATAGCTTCTGGGGACTATTTCCTAACCATGTGGTTACCAGACCTGGGTGACAGATTTTATGTCCTGATGTGAAAACATACAGAAGTGTAGAGACAAGCAACCTCTGTGCCCTGATTACTTTTTCATATTCTGAAGACATCTGGATACTCGATGCACAAATCTGGTGATTCTTGGGCCATACATTCCTAGAGGCAAGTAGGAGTGGGCACGTGAACGAGAAATTGGGGGTGGGAGGGCTTGGGCCCCAGTTCTGCCCCTCGGGGCAGCTGCGGGCACCACCTTGGGTGGTGGATTTCCACCCTCAGTTTCTCAGTTTTCCTGTCTCTCAAATGGACAGGGTCCCACCCTGATCTTTCATCACAGGCCTGGGGGAGGCAGGCCTGGAGCAGCAGGGTGGGCCCAGACAGAGCGGGTCTGTCTTTGGAAACCATTCCTGCAGGTTCTGAGGGCAATGCCTTGACAAATAAGGACATTTGCATGAGGAAGGCGCTGTCCGGGAAATCCGGATCTCACTAAAAGGAGGCATCTGGAAGTCCCCAGGGCCTGACCATCCTGGAGATGCCAAACAAGGAAACACGAGCGTCTGGAAAGTCAGCAGTGGCCCCTGGACCGAGTACCAGGAAGAGGTTGAGAGATGCCGCGCCAGGAGCTGAGCTTCCACAGCACGGGTGCCATTGCGGGAGCCCAGGCTGGCGGCCAAGGTCACTGGACCTCATCGCCAGCCCCTGAGGATGTTAGAAGGGTTCTTGGGAATTACTCAGGAAGTAGGAGGGAAAGTCATTTTCCCCAGGATCCCAGAGCTAATCAGTGGCTTAAAAGGGACAAGCCCCACTTTCAGGGGCAGGGAGAAGAGAGTGCACAGGAGGGGAAAGCCGGATAGAAGCCTGTGGTCCTTGTGCCTGACTGCCCTTGGACCTGGGCCTCGAGACTAGAAGGTCAGAGATGGACTCTGACATCGGTGGGCCCCTTCCCGGGGAAAGGGGGTTGCAGCTTGAGTGGGAGAAAATCACCGGTGGGGTTTCAGGTTTTAAGTGTTTAAATCCTGTATAATGAAGCCCGCTGGAGAGTAAGACGCGGTGGGGGTCATGGGGGCAGAAGGGGGCCTTCCTGAGATCTAGCCCCCAGCGCTGAGGCCAGGGAATGTTCTAGTGGAGGGTTGTGGGTTAGAGTGGCGGTGGCAATGTGACTGGAGCAGGAATGAGGGGAGGGGACTTGGTCTGTGGAGAACTTAAAAAACTAGGAGCTTTTACCTCGCACAGGCAACTCGAAGTAAGTTGTTGATACAGCGTTCCTCGCTGAACAATCTTGTCGGCCTAAGTTTGAGCCAACTGTGGTTACTGTTGAGTTTAATCCTGTCTACTGCAGCCTGAACTAGCACATTCTTATTGCTTATCCTTTAATGAATATTGTGTTTAACGTGGAAGTTAGTTTGGCTGCCGGCTTGCCAGGCTCAGCTACATGCTTTTGTTTCCAAGCAGTGCGTGAGAGGTAAGCAGTGGGAGCGAGCAGAGAGAGACTTGAGTGACTTCAAGTCCGTTGTTGTATGTAGGTGGACGAAAGTATTCGCAAACGGTCAGCACCCACCTTGGACAGGGTGCTGGTCTTTTTCCTGGAGACTGGTGCGAAGGAATTGTGGAGAGGGCTGTTACTTCTGGGGGAAAAAAGTGAGGAAATGGACAGCTGCATGGGAAAGAGAATCAAATTCAGGGAAGAAGTGTGGTCCAGCGGTGCTGGTCCCAGGGGGCCGGGTGACCGGAAAGGGGCTGTGGTTGAAGGCTGAGTCACTTGCAAGCAGGAGCTGGACAAGGACGCACTGGCTCGAAGAAGCCACATGGCACATGGCACTGTGTTTGCTGTCACACAGCCATGTTCTCTGATTTTTGCAGGGAACCCAAACACAATAGAAATTTGTGATGTTTCCTAATGATGGGGGGTGGGGTGTGTGTGTGTGTGTGTGAGTGAGAAAGAGAGAGAGAGACAGACAGACATTTCAACTGTGGGGACACTTGAAAGCTGCTAGGATTGATCCTGAAGAACAAAGACATGGACGGTATCGCTGTTTCAGCAGTTTGCTGCGTGGATTGGTATGAGCTGCTGCCAAACTTGGCTTGATGCTTACAGTTCTCCTTAACCACTTACGTATTTCTTGTTGCAGGTGAAAGAAAATTCAGAAATTAAAGTGGATGAAAAGTATTCCTCAGTCAGCGATGAGACAGACAGACAAACCTGGCTGTGCTGCGTGCGTACTGCGTGGGAATATTCCAGCAACATCAATGCTGATGAAATCAACACAGTTGCAGAAATCTCAAGAGCAAAACCATCATGTTCTATTTGTTACCAACATGTAGGCAAAAGGGTTTCCTGTTTTCTTAAAAAAAAAAAAAAGAAAAGACTAACTTAAAAGTATTTACTTTTCCCTTTTTTGGTAATGACCTTTTTATTTACTTATTTAGTCGTTTACTTAACTGCCGTGAGTATATAGTTGAGGTTTAATAACAGAAACATTTTTGTGGTTTGCACTTCTTGCCCTGCTGTGATTTCTGCTACAGCACTGAGGCTGGGACTTACATCTCCACGGCTGCCTTTATTGTGCGCCAGGCACTGCTCTCTGCTTCTCTTTTCAGCTGAGAAAAGGGAGAGTTTGCTGAGTCCTGTGGAATGCACCTTGGTCCTGGGCGAATGTCAGCCTCCACTCTCAGGTGTTCTTATTTCTGCAGCCTTCTTTCTTCTTCAGCAATTTAATTCCATTGCCCCCCCCCCACTTTCTCTCCCCTGGCTCCTCCCTAAATCCTCATCCACGGGAGTCTGTGCAACACAAGAGTCTCGGGGAAAAGCTGACCTGGCTTTGATAATCCGGGCTCTGCCGCCTACGGGATGTATGACCTTGGGCAAGTCATTCTCTGAGCCTCGATTTTGCTATCTGTAAATGGGGATACTAGCAGGTCATGAAAATTCAATGAGTAAACATGTGTCGGGGACTTAGCACTGGGTCTGCCGGCAGGCAACAGGGCTCTGGGCTCCAGGGACGGGTGTTCAAATGACAGGATTTTAGGCATTATTAGGCAAGAGTGGAGCTGGGAGGAGTTTTGTTGTATTTTCTTTCTTAGATTTCTAAAAAAATTATTTATATTTAGGGAGAAGAAAGACAAGGGAGAAACATCCATCTGTTGCCTCTCGCACGCCCCCACTGGGGACCGAACCCACAAGCGGGGAAGGGTTTTAGGGGTGATCAGCAGTTGTTTCTTGGCGAAGACCTACTCTGTACTGTTTTAAAGAACTTAACAGTCAGTAAGACAAGCAGCCCAGTTAGAAAATGGGCACAGGACTTGAACAGACACTTCTCCAAGGAGGACATACCGATTGGTGACCCCAGTGCGGATGCTCGCTTGGCTGGTTGGAGTGCAGACCGTGGTTTCCTGGAGACAGGGCCGTACATCAAGGGGCGGGGCCCGGCCAAACCTTAACCTTAACGAGCTGCTTGGCCACCCTGACGGCTGGCGAAGAGGAAAGAAATGGGCAATGTTTCTAAGATACATTAAATGCCAAGCAGTCTGTATTTCGTTCCTAACATTTATTCATGGACATTTCTCAGGAATCCGAATAGCAAGTACCCAACTATTCCAAACCTCCACCTGTGACTGGGAAGGGGCTTCTGAAATGCACTCCTGCCCCCAACAGCTTAGATGGAGTGAAGAGCAGAGGGTTCTTTGGGGTGATCTCAGCGATACCAGAAGACCCCTACTGTCCAAAATACTCTGGCCACCTTCTTAGTGGTGAAAAAACGAGGGAGAATCCTGTCTAGAGTTAGTGCAGTGCACAAATGTCTGGAACTTAGTTACTGAGAATCTTTTTTTTTTTTTTTCTGAGATCAAGTTTTGTTAGAGAAAGGGGAAGCAGTCGGGAGCCTGCATCTTTGATGGGAGAGGAGAGAAAGGTATAGAAAAGGAGAAACTGCAGGCACCCAACCTCAGATCCGTCCGTCTCCCGAAGCCCATGAGATAGTTCAGAATGTGCAGCCTGCCACCGAGCCTCCAGTGCCGAGGTTACCTGGGGGGAGTCAGCGCACTTGGCTTTGTCATTTTGGGTCCTTCCTCACAGCCACTGAACTGGTACATGGGACGGCAGCAGGAAGCCAAGGGCTCCCCTCCCCACCATCCATAAACCAATAACCAATATTGCAACTGGAAAAGGTGGAGATGGCAAAAATCTGCACCAAGGTATTTAGCAGCTTTGCTTTGCTGATTCCTGTGTAATGATTATGCCAGTCCCTTGGGTTTATAAGCCCCCTTCCTCCAAAGTTCTCAGAAGAGCAGCAGGAAGAGAAGAAGCTGCATATTGAGGACCTGCTCTGTATCAAGTCCTTTGCTAGGAAGTTGCATGCTTTCTTTCAAAGCCTCATCACAGCATAACAAAGAAAGAACTATTCCTTCTGGTCTGACTGGTGTGGCTCAGTGGATTGAGTGCCGGCCTGAGAACCGAAGGGTCACGGGTTGGATTCCCAGTCAGGGCACATGCCTGGGTTGTGGGTCAGGTCCCCAGTGGGAGGTGTGAGAGAGGCAACCACACATTGATGTTTCTCTCTCTCTCTCTCTTTCTCTTCCCTCCCCCTCTCTCTAAAAATAAATAAATAAAAATTTAAAAAACAAAGAACTATTTTTCCCAAATCTCAGTTGAGGAAATTGAGGATTGGGAAATGTCATGAAGCTGGTGCTGAATAGGACCTTTGTCAGTTAGAGAAAAACAAGCTCTTTGCCCTCGTACTCAGCTGGTTAGAGTATTGTCCTGATATGCCAAGGTTGTGGGTTCAATTCCTGGTCAGGGCAAATACAAGAAGCAACCAATGAAAGTATAAGTAAGGGTAAAAACAAATCAATGTTTCTCTCTCTCTAAAAATCAATCAATGAAAGAAATTTTTTAAAAAGTAAAAGCAAACTCTTCTCTAACCAATGCAAAGGGGAACCCTTTTTCAAGGTACACAAGCATGATGGCCTTCATTCATTGCTCTTCATTACTCTTCAATCCCTTTTGTTTGCAGCCTGATGTCTGTCTGTACCCCCAAGTTCAAATACGGGCAGCGATCCTGATGGGAGAAGTTGACTCAGGTCCTTTCTTCTATCCACCTGGAGAGGCACTTAATCCTGTCATGTCTGACCCCCTCATCCTTCCAGAAGCTGTTAATGGGCACCAAGTGGTCACTTTTTGTGGTCATTTACTCAGTCTGGCCAGCACCAGATGGCATCCACCGAAGAGATGCTGACGTTGTCTCCTCTGCCCACCCCGACCACCTCCACACTGGGCGCCAGCTACCTTCACACGGGTGCCTCCTGGGTGAAGCCCCACAGACCTGAGAGCTGCCTTTGCTTGTCTCCAGCTGACCCTACGGTCTTGGTGTGCATTGATCCTCAGCCCCTCCAGGGAGGGAGGGAGGAGGAACTTGATCCTGGGTGAGGCTGTTAAGGAGGGAAGCAGAGATTCTGTCTAATCAGAAGATTAAGTCCAAGTAAGTGCTGCCAGAGCAATCTGGGTCTGCCTCCTTGAGCCCCTCCTTCCTCTGGGATTGCTTCCCTGAACTGCAGAGCTCAGAGGGAGGTGGAAAGACCCTGGGCCAACCTTCAGAGGGGCTCCCCCTAGCGGAATTGTCTTCAAGTGCAAGCATTATGCTGCCAAGGCTGTCCCTCTGTGTAAGGGGACTGGCATTTGCTTCTTATTTTAGGCAGTGCGTCAACAGGGTGATCGGGCACTTCCTAAATCCAAATAAGCCAAGTGACCCTGTCATGGATTTAAACAGGGCCGATGTTAATTGAGGGAGGCTATCTCTAAGCCTCATAGCTGGAATTCCATTTGCTTTTTTATTTTGGTCACCAGAGTGATAAAAATAAATGGAATTCCACTTACTTTTTCTATTTCTATCACTCTTGAGTGCTGTCCTTATAGAAAATACTCTGCTTCTCCTTTCAAATAAACGTAACAGTGGTACCTGTCATGGACTGCTTTCTATGTGCCAGACACGGTGCTAATGGGCTCATAGGCATCATTTTCTGAATTACTAAACGCACGTGCTGTAAGTACTATTATTCCCATTGTACAGGTGATGAAGCTGAGATGTGGATAACTATCTTGTCCAAAGTCACACAGCGCTTGATTGGTGGGGCTGGAATTTAGATTCACGTTTATGATTCCAAAGCTCATACTGGAGTAGCTTTACAAACTTCCCACAGTAATCTTGGTGGATTTTTCTTGACCAGTTTAGCTCTTTCTTTTCTTTTCTTTTTTTTTTTTTGTCTCCCCAACCTTTGACTCACAAGAAGGGCACCTGATTTAAGTGCATAGACCAGTACCTAAAGGTCCAAACCCATCTCAACGTTCCCACATTTTGCCTTTGACCACTAGGTGGAGACATGCCTATTTTCTCTCCTCCTAAAGATCTTGAACTTTTTTTTTGTACTGTTGTTCAATTGCAGTTGTCCCCATTTCCCCCCTTTACTGTCCCCTGCCCTATCCACCCCCACCTCCCACATTCAGTCCTGCCCACATTGTCTTTGTCCATGGGTCCTTTATACATGTTCCTCGATGGCCCTTCCCCTTCTTTCCCCCCCTTTCTCCCTCTCCCCTCTCCTTTGGTTACTCTCCGTTTGTTCTTTATTTCTATGTCTGTGGTTCTATTTTGCTCACTTGTTTTGTTGATTAGGTTCCACTTATAGGTGAGATCATACGGTATTCGTCTTTCACCACCTGGCTTATTTCACTCAGCATAATGCTCTCCAGATCCACCCATGTTGTCATGAAGGGTAATAGTTTCTTCTTTCTTTCTGCTGCATAGAATTCCATTGTGTAAATGTACCACAGTTTTTTTTTAACCCACCCATTTACTGATGAGCATTTAGGCTATTTCCAGCATAGAGATTAAAACCACAATGAGATACCACTTCACACCAGTCAGAATCGCCATCATAAACAAATTAACAAACAACAAATGTTGGTAAGGTTGTGGAGAAAAAGGAACCCTGGTACACCGTTGGTGGGAATGCAGACTGGTGCAGCCACGGTGGAAAACAGTACAGAATCTCCTCAGAAAAACTAAAATTAGAACTGCCTTTTGACCCAGCAATTCCAGTGCTGGGATTATGCACTAAGAACCCTGAAACACCAGTTCAAAAGAACCTACGCACCCCAATGTCCATAGCAGCACAATTTACAATGGCCAAGTACTCGACCTTAAACTCCTAACCACATGCATAGTACGCAGGTCTCCACTCTAGGCCCCCAGAATCCAAATGCTATAGAAAGAGAGCCAGATTACTAATGAGTAAATACACAAAACTGCACCTGTG